TAACCTCTAATCTACTTTCTGTCTCTATGTATTTGCCTAATCTATGAGTTTCACATTGGTGGAATGATATAATAATTTCAATTAGCATAGTTTTTTCAAGGTTCAACCATACTAAGAATGTACTTATTCATTTTTATTTTTTTTTAAAGAGAGAGAGAGAATTTTTTAATATTTATTTATTTTTTTTTTTAGTTTTCGGCGGACACAACATCTTTGTTTGTATGTGGTACTGAGGATCGAACCAGGGCCAAACGCATGCCAGGCGAGTGCGCTACCGCTTGAGCCACATCCCCAGCCCTATTCCTTTTTATGACTGAATAATGTTATATTGTATGTGTATGTCATATTTTGTTTAGCCAAGAGATTAGCCCTAGGGTTGCTTCACCTCTTAGCTATCGTGAGTAATGCTATTCACATTAGTATACAAGTATCTGAGTCCCTGATTTTTATATTAGTGGGTATATATCTAGGACTGGAATTGTTGGTCCACATAATAATTCTGTGCTTAAACTTTTTGAGGAACTGCCAAAGTCTTCTTCTCAGGAGCTGCACATTTTAAATAATAAGATATTTTTACTTAAAGTCAACCTTATCATATTACTGTAGCTCCCAGCTTCCCAAGAGCTAGGTTTTGACTAGAATGAGAAAATGACAGGGTGTACATTTTCTCATCCCTTCGCATCCAACTCTTCAGTATATTTTCAATGTGTTTCCTATATTCATTGTTATCATTACCAACATATTGGAGTCTACTTTCTACTTTCCATTCTTTCTTATCACTTTATAATTGTTATAAAATTTTAACACATATATTTAACTTTACAAGGTCCAAAGTTATCATCTCCTTCCCACATAATAAAAAGGGCTTTAAAATATATTAACTCTGCTTACACACTCCCAAGTTATATTGTTGTCTAACATTGTAGTTAGACACAAATTGTTTTATAGCTCCTCAAAATTTTACTGTTTTAGACAGTTAATGCTTTGTGTTTACTTTTAAAAGTTTCCTTGCTTACCATTCACATTTGTTGCATCTCAAGCTTTTCTGTCATCATATTCCATCATCTCAACATTTACCTTTGGAAGATTCTTTAATGAGAGCCCCAGTTATTGTTCATCAGATAGCATATTTTACCATTATTCTTGAAATTTGTTTTTATAAGTTATTTTCTATCCTATGGTTCTCTTTTCTGACTACAAATGGGAAATAAGCTTTTTAATTGTTGGTTCTGGGTATTACTTCTTTGGCTGCTTTAAAGATCTCTTTTATGTTCTGTATCTATTTGTAAATGCTGCTTTCTGGGTTATTTCTTCAAGCCTAGCTTTCAGTTTACAAATTCTCTCTTCTACTGGGTCAGTTTATCCATTCTAATTGCAATTATTATTTCATTGTTTACTTCTTCCTGAAATCTGCCTTATCATTCTTTTCATTTGTTTTTTATCATACATTCCTCTTATTGCTTCTGACACAATTTTGCAGTCTTTGCAAATTTGACTATATTATTTGTCATTTCTTCTCTCACATGTGACACACTTATAACTTTGGATATTAACTTGTTTCTTAGAATACCTGTGGGAATGCCTTGATGCTTGTGTCTAAAGAATACTCCTCCAGGAAGGTTTTGGGTTGGTTTTTGTTAGAAACATGGGGACACTATCAACTCAGGATCATTGTAAAATAAATTCTCAGTTTGAGACTTTTAATGACACACAAGTAAGACTTCTGCACAAAATCTGCATGGTAACTAGCTGTGGTAAGGAATTTCTCATGGGACACTTTTCTCCCACTCAACATTGAGGCCTGCACTTTTTCCTTATATCCATCTCTGAAGTGTTTTATTTTCTAGTTTACCAAAAATGTTAAATCCTACTCTGCTCAGGCTACTCATTTTTGTCCAGCTGACTTGCAGACCTAAGTGTACTGTAAACAGCATTATTATAACTTTTTTCTTTCAGTAACTATACTTGTTAAGAGTTTGATCAAGTCCTGACCCTATCTGCAGATCTCACCCAGGAGAGACTCGTGGATGGATGCTCCTCTCCAAGTGCAGCCATCAGCTTCAGTACTTGTTACTTTCTCGTGTTTTCTTTTTTTGCTTCTGAGAATTCCTTTAAAAAAAATTTTTTTTAGTTGTAGATGGATACCTTTCTTTATATGTGATGCTTAAGATCAAACCCAGGGCCTCACATGTGCTAGGGAAGTGCTCTACCACTAAACTACAACTCCAGTCCTGAGAATTCCTTTTTTGACAAATCCCCTATATAATTAAAGACCATCCCCCCCCATGTTTATCCATCATTGTTTTCTGAGATAATAAGTTTCTCAAGTTATTTAGTCTAGCATACTGCCAGACATTTCTGTTCTACTTTCCCACATATATGTGCTTTTATGCATAAAAATGGATAAAGGAGATTTGTCAACCTTACTGAAAAGATGTAAAAAGTTCTGGCAAGAAAAATCACAAGTCAGCTAGTTTCAGGGTGATGGTAAACAACATGAAATGGGTAATGAAAAGAGAAAATGTATACATGCATATGCAATGTATTTATTTGTATGTATGTTCATGTATTTTTTTACTATTATTTTTAGTACTAGGGATGAGTCCAGAGGTACTTTACCACTGAGTCAATCCCTAGCCCTTTTCATTTTGTATTTTTGAGACAGGGTCTCCCTAAGTTGCTCAGGACCTTGCTAAGTTGTCGAGGCTGGCTTTGAACTTGCAATCCTCCTACCTCAGCCTACCAAGCCACTGGCATTACAGGCATGCACCACCACACCCAGCTGTTCATATATATATTTATATAAACTATGCACACTTGAATAACTAGAGACTTATTACTAATGTATGTCTTTCCTTATTATATATGTATATATCTATATTAAAGTTGATATATGTACACACACACAACTTTCCCCCTCTTCTATCTTCCAGTTATTCCATCTAACATTATAAGACTTTTATAACAAGGAACATTGTGATCAAGCAAGGGTAATATCATAGAGATGAATAGGAAACTTGTAAAATTTATGCCCTCTTGGGAAGAAGATAGGTGTTGTCTACAACAGGGAAGTAGGTGTGTGTGAAGAAGAATCATGACAGTCTTTGTTCTTCTTTGGAAACTTAACATGGATACAAGTGTAAGTGTAGATACTGAGTATTGTGAAGGATGAACCATGCTCAACAATATCTGCTGAAGATTCTGTACTGTTCTCATTCTTGTACTCCATACTTGTCCACATAAATCCAATTGGATTTCACCAATAAGAGGCATTTGTACACAATTCAGAAAGTAAAGAAAGGTAAAGTATTCTCCAGTGGTACTTGCAATCAGGCTAATGGGATTTGTCAGTCGTTTCCAGGCACTTTTCTGAAAACCACTCACACTTGGTGCTGCAGGAGCCAATATCACCCATGGCAGGCAGCTTCCTATAATCCCTACAGTGGCAGATTTCATACTGGTCTTCCTGATCTGCATTTCCTCAAGCTTTCTAATGGTCATAGAAGACCAAAGTAATGGTTAATTTGAATTGTCAAGTTGATTGGATTAAGAGATGCCAATGATTAAGAGGCTTCTGGGTATGTCAAGGAATTACTGTCATGTTGGATAGCCAACTGAAATGAAGACCCTCCCTAAGCAGCATCACCCAACAAAGATAATAGCATGGATGAAATAAATTTGGAAGAACAAGGAAGCAGCAGCAGATGGAAGTTCTATTCTTCTTGAACAGGTTCTTGATTGCTGCTGCGATCATCTGAGGATATCAGACTCTCACTTCTTCACTCTTCGAAAGCAGACCCTGCCAGTGATTCTCCAGGGTGTTTCCAGAAGCCTTTGGTCTCAGACTAGGGTAGAACCATTGATCCTTCTCATTCTAAGGCTTCAGCCTCTTGGACTGTGCAATTACTGGTTCTTCCAGCTCTCCAGTCTGCAGCCCACCATTGTGGACTATCCAGCCAACCTAATAAATCCCCTTTTTATAATTATACTTCCTGTTGATTCTGTTCCTCTACAGAACTCTAATACATCTCCCTAAAAAATTCTTTCCTACTGAAAATTCCCTCAGAGAATTCTGATTTCTTGATCAAACTCTTAACAGGTTGTTACTGAGAGAAAAAATAATAATAAAATGTTGTTCATTAATAAATAGCAAGGTCAGCAAGTGTTTTATTATGCAAATACTATTGCAAATTCTTTGTGCATAGACACTGAGAAATATGTTGTTTGCTTAACCAGAGTCCATTGTTTTGCCTGCATTTCTCAGATACCCAATGTACCCACTGTGCCTAGAACACTGACAGTACAAGGTAAAAGAATGGAAAAGCAGGATTTGGCTGTTAAATTCTGTGAAATGATTTCCACTTAAATAATGATTTAAGCTTTAAGGCACTCTATTTGAGCACAAGCCAAGTCAAGATTAGGATCTTTTTTTAATATTTTTTAGTTGTAGTGGGCACAATCAATATCTTTACTTTATCCATTCATTTATATGTGGTGCCGAGGATTGAACCCAGAGCCCCAGACATGCTAGGCGAGCACTCCACTGCTGAGCCACAACCCCAGCCCCAAGATTAGGGTCTTTAATTTTAAAAATAATAAAATTAAAAATCAGCTCTAATTTTCTAATAGGATGACTGTCAACATTTTCAGAACTGCTCTGACTTAGTTTCAGCATACTCAGTTCAAAGGAGTTGAGAACCATTTACTAAGGAATATCACACTGATGGGAAGGTCAAGTTTTGGAGAACCATGCCTAGAGTCCACTAGCTTTTCTCCATTTTTAGGAACTTGTCACTTTCCTTTACTCTTGTCTCCTTTTCCATGAAGAACTATGAATGTGCAAACCAATTCATTATTGTTCCTGCTGAGAAAAGTTCCTAATATTTCATTTAAGTTCCTAATGTTCTGTCATTAAAATCAATTCTGTATTTGGAGTCTATTTTCCCACTTCAATTAAAGTAACCCCCAATAACCACCAAAAAAAACAAAGACTACATATGTAAAGAAATTTCAGATTTAATTTGTTGGATTTGTTCAAAGAAATGCTTTAATTTTAATAACACATGGGTCTCCAAGTTAACAACTAAGAACAAAGATGGAAATCCTACAAAGATGTCCCACAGTTCCTAGATTTCTACATAGCAGCAGTGAAAGTAAATTAATTTTTAAAAAATCATTTTATTCAAAGAATTAAAAAAATTAAGAAAGCAGGAGATAAAATTCAAAGCAAATAAGCTTGGTACTTCAAAACAATTCTACAAACAAAATGTGATTTTTTTTTTAAAAGCCCCCTAAATCAAAACTGTCTAGACACAGACAAGTCTAACAGAAAGAAACTCAAATATAATACAATTTTATTTCTCTTGCCTAGAAATTAAGTCTTTATTGTCTCAGATATTTTCCATTTACTGGAGGCATTATGTGAAGACAGTGGATCAAGTTTTCTAATGGGTTGATGTCACACGGACCTCGCCATAGTAAAACATCAATGACTGAGGCCACACTGGAATAAGGACAACAAAGTTACCTGAAAGGGAGCTATTGCCAGAAACAAACTGCAGTGATTCTGATACATCTAGTTCTCTGCAGCCTGGGTGTTTATCTAGAATTAATGAATAGCAACTTTTGGGTCTCACGAATGAAAAAAAAAAATGTGTAATTTAAGAACAAAGGGGTTGGTTAGTTATGGTTTGTCTTTTAGGTATAACAGATCTGAAATTCTCCATGAATATCATACTATGTGCTTTGGAATTCTGGCAATTTTCCTCCCATGATCTTGCTATACTTATCTCCATCTCAAAACACACAAAGCTGAGTGACAGAGGTAAAAATCCCAAGTGTGCACAGCGTTAAATTTTTTACATGTTTATGTTTTTTTTAATACTTGGGTGCTTCTAAATCACTTGGTATACTGCATTAATTAAAAACGTGGAAATAACACCACTTGTTTCCATTCAAATTATGTAAAGAATCTTTTTAATTTTATACAGAGAAGCAGAATGATAGGTGAAAAGAAAAAAACTCTATCCAGAGGGCACTTCTCTAATTGTTTAAAAAGCTCCATTTTTTAGTTCCATATTTTCAATTACACACCCAAAGTTCATATTCAAGATATCCTGAAATATAAAAAGGAAAATATGGATAAAGTAGCAGCAGTCTCTACAAGAAAATACATAAGTGGATCCTGGAATTCAAGTTAATGAAGCATGTTAATGTAAGTTCACAAAGTATGTTTCAATCTTGGAAATAATTTCCTGTATACATGCTCACCAAAGAGAATGATGAATTCATTTCATCACATATATAGCACCTGGGAAGGGGTCAGCTTTTAAATGACTCATATTCTGATAACTCTTCTGTACATTAGCACAAGATTAGTTTCTGTTTCCAGGATGGTCATAAGGTTAAATAAAGCTCCTATATTATCTTAAAAAATGAAAGAAGCACGTTTACCTTCAGATGATTGAGAGAAACTTAGCCTTTACTTCTTTCCTTCATCCAAAAAAATTAAAGAAGTATTTTTTTTCCAAGTGCCATTTAATGAAAAGTGCCCTCTTAACTTTTAGGGATATTACTTCTTGGCCTTCAGTAAGGTCTCAGTAAATACTGATAATCAACTGCAAAGAACTGAAAGAAAACTGTTCACTTAGAAGTAAGGTTGAATTTTACTTCAAAAGGATAGATCTTAGAAAACATGATTCACGCTGATGAGGCAGTCTTAGTTTCTACAGAGTCAGAGCACAGGAGAGAGAGGGAGAGTCCACAGACTCTACTGAGTGGGTAGACCCAATAGCACATCTGTCCATTCCAACCACCCTGGTCTCCTGCAAAACTGAGCAAGTGCTGTGAGCACTGGGGAAAGCATCTAGCTTGCTGTATATAAAATAATTCTGTAAAGGGAATCTTTGTTCTACAATTTACAGATTCCCAGATACTACTTAGATTGTCTTGTCACTCATTTACCATATATATATAATATTATATATTATATATATAATATATATCCTTCTTTTGCAACTATGAATTCACTTGAAATTTCTGATTACTGCAAATCCTGAAAATCTGCAACAGCTTACTGCAAAAAATTTAAAGTGACTTGAGAAAGTATATTATTTATGGAGTATGATATCAGAAAGAGTATCCAGCATTTGTTTTATCTAATGATCCTTTTTAAAACAACTGGGAAGCCAGAATACAGAAATGTGGCTTTTGATAATATTTATGCAATCATTTCTTATTTTTTAAAGTTAATTAGTAAATGTTCAGTGTCACTAATGTTTACTAAGAACTAAAGTAAAACAATGTCTATATTTCTTAGTACAATACAATTTTTAAAACAACTACATACATGTATATGCTTTAAATATTGGCAGATTGCTTCAAAATGAAATTCTTAGCAAAAGTTTTTGGTAATCTATTCACAGTTCTGGCTTAGAGTCACTGAAATTACAAGTCATAAGGATGAAATGACCAATTGGCTCAGAAAACTGAACATTCGTTTCAAACAACACAAAACTGAAACAAGCAACAACCCTAACCCCTCCCCTCACAAGAAGTATAATTTAAACAAATACCAAAAGTTTTATCTAGGCAAAAACACATTCAACCACAGAACATCCAAAAAGCTAACAGGATCATTTCTATAATCATTCTGAAAACTAGTATAGAAAGCAAGGTAATTTGAGAATTTCTAAGATGTTCTCATTAACCATTAGTTATCGTATATTATGTAACATTTCCACATGAAGCTATTACATACTTACAAGTTAATATGGCATAACTTAACAATCTTGCTAGCTAACTATAATTTTAACCCTGGATATTACTGGTTTGAAGCTAATATGATTAGTCCTATTAGTTGTCATTGTCCTAGATTTAAAGACAATGTTTAAATTCATCAAGCTAGGGAGATAACTGAAATGTTTATTAACAATCTTTAAATATAGTGGGTAAAAACAGATTTATATGTTAAAACTTCTAAACTTGAGACTATTAACAGTAAAAACTGAAATGTGTTTCTGTGGGTAAAATACTGCCTGTCATTCTTGTACACAAAATTTACTAAATATGTAGATCTCACAAAATGAAATATCTTTACCATTCTCCTCAATTTCTTTGGCCTTTACAAATTCAACGTGAACTATGAATTCTTTTTCAATAAATACTTTTCAATGATTTTGTGCTTTTTTCAGAAAAATCACTTAATTTGTAGCATATAATAACTAGGTAACACCAGTCTTTCTCTTTTATTGCTATAGAATATCCTACATATATATCTACATATATATATTTTTAAAAAAGATAAGAGAAAGAGCTGACCCAAAGGACTTAAAATATGTTTGTAAAAACAAACACTTCAGCTGGTTTTCCTTCTTTGAAGAGTAATGAAATAAATGTCAGAGGAATATTACCAATGACCCTCAAATAGGCTCCTTTTCTCCATCCTCAGAACTAACTCAGGACAAGAGACCCGGATTTAAAAGAAGACAGTATCACCTCAGAAACAACCTAAGAAAACTTTCAAAAGAGAAATAGCCCATCTGCACTCTACCCTGTGTCAGTTGCCTCTGAGGAGCAGGAACACTTGATTGTTTTTCATCTGCATGTTAATGACTCTGTATTGTTTATAGCCTGTGATTACAGCTCACTCTGCACATGCATTTCATTTCTTATAAACATTATATATGATATGCCCCCAAACTTAGACCATCATTTAAGTAAACAAATCCACTCAACTCACAGCACCCATGCCTTTCAATGAACCTAGCTACTCTTCTCCAGTGACAAGTCTACCTGGGGACAGACATTTTTTGAGAAGGAAGATGTAATTTTAAATGACCTGCACAGCTTATAATAGATAGTCATAAAAAAAAAAAAAAAAACCGTTGACATAGTTATAACAAACTAAAAAGAGCTGACAACTTTTTTTTTCCTCTTATATTTATCCTATGGTATATGTGATTTTTAAAGTGGAAAAGTTGACTCCAAAGTAATAATTATTTACTGGGCCATGTGTTAGATGTCCCCTGACTAAAAAGGGCCCACTGGGTAACGGCATATGACTGAATTTAAACTTTAAATGTACTATAAGAAAACTTTTTATATAAAGAGCTCCTTTTGTAGAATACCTTTTTCTGAAAAACACATTTTTTTAAATAGTCTATATTACATTGGCTTTAACTGGGTATGCTCACTTATTTAGCCTTGCCTCACTGCAAGACCTTTTATGTGTTAAAAATTAATTTATAAAAACATTTAAAAATCACAATATTAAATGGGGTAGAGAGCAAGAAGAGAGAAAAGGGAAACAAAATCATGTTTGGAAAATACCACTTCATCCTTCAATTTGGTTTTTGATACTCAGTTTAGAACTTACCCTAGCTTGGAGTATTTGTGTATGGAGTGTGATTTGGGGTACAAATCACAGCCAGACAGAAGTAAGTTCTGGAATTCTATTACACAGAAAGTGATGACAGCCAACAGTACCAAACGGTATAATTCAAAATAGATACAAAAGACCACTCTGATTGTTCTTATCACACAAAAAAAATGATAAATGTTTGAGATGATGGATAATCTAAGTATCCTGAGTTAATCATTTTACAATATACCAAAACATCACACTGTACCCCATAACAATACACAATAATTATGTTTATGTCATGTATGTCAATAAAATAATGCTACAAACCCATACACGTGTCAAATGCTGCCGTACCAAATATAAGAAATGATATAATACATATACTAAAACTAGTACGCTTACAGAAAATAATCTTATAAACAAAGTAGGTAAATACAGCTATAGCAGCTGTATGTGTTTGTGTGTGTGTGTATGATGTAAATAGTGACCATATTTTATTTTTAAAAACAATGAGATCCCTAGTCTCCATCAATGATTCCTTCCAAATTACCTCAAAATATGCCACTTCTTTCTCTACCCATCATGCACAAGCAGTGTTTTATACTTCTCTTGTAGCAATAATAGCTATCCAAAATCCTAACCTCATCAAGAAGTTCAAACACAAAAAAAGGAAATAAAAGACTGAACTTACTCGAAATTATGCTAAATATTTCACCTTCACAATTTAAAAGTGAGTACTTTTGAAAGAGCTTAACCAAAACATAAGCACACTCTCCTATAGCCCTCAAGATCTAAACCAAAAAACTCTGTGAAAAAAATTTTAACTCACATTTTTGGGGTATCTAACTAATATTCTACTTTAAATATTTTAACCCAAAGTGTCAACTTCCACTTGTAACCGCAACCAGCTGAAGACATCTTACACCACTTTATTTACATCATCTTCATTCCTAAATAAATTTCAGGGTAGAACACAGAAAATACAGAGGAAAAAATCTAGGAATACTAAATATGATGCCCTTTATTTACTAATATCAGTGTAAAACATAAATTTTTCTTAGCCTAGCCTACCATACCCATTTAAGAGCCAAAGACTTGCAAATCTTCTAAACGATTTCAGAGAATTTCCAAACTGACACTAAAGGTTTATTAGTTTTATGCAACAAGGCAGTAAAGAAAGTCAAAATTAACTGTAGGAAATTCTTTCATGGGACAAAGTTGAAAAGAATATTGAATATATTGACAATCTGAAACACTTGATAGCAGCTCTGTTGTGATTTCGAGAACAAGATACAAATATGTCATTCAACAGTTACTTTAAAAATAAAGATTATAAACACAGGAAATAAAAATTTATTTTAGATGAAAAAACAAGGAGTGGGTTACCCAACATCCTATCTTCAAATTTAAAATCACGTTATCAATTGTCCAATTGTCCAAAGCAATTCAAATTTAAAGTTTGTGCTATAAAATTGTGTACATGTGTTCTCTATAAGTGCATTGGAGAACATCAATGCACTACTATAATATTCTGTTGCCTAAATCACCTCCACCTACAGATAACGGATAAGTATGAGAACTAAGGTTAACTGACCTTAGATATAAATCCCACCAAGAAAAGTTTTAAGCCTTTAAGTATTACAGTTTGATTTAAAAACAAAATAGAAACAAGTTCTGAAATAAATCACAGCATCTTCTGTTTATATATAACTTAGCAAAACCTTCAATAAACATCCAAGTGTTCACATATACTACCACTGGATTTAGAAAGCCCAAATAAATGCACAACTCTATGATTGGTCTGAATGAATAAATGCACAGTAAAACAAATGCCAATTATTTTTAAAATATACAGTCCTCTTAAATTGAAGTGGGGGACCCATAAATTCAACACCCAGCATTCTTTAAAGAAAAAGACAGCTAAAATCTTTCCAATACAGATTCCAATTTAGATTTCATTATTCAAACTCCCCCACATTTTACTGGAAAAATATAAGAAGCAATTTCACAAAAATCACAAATTGAGTGGAATAATTATAACTGATATATAAATAAGAATTTACTAAAAAAGGCTTCCAGGGGGGTGATATCTTAAATCAAAGCTTTCAATACAAAAGGTGTCTTGTGTTGTTTAATCTTCCCAAGTTTCAGATGCTTTTTACTCGACGGTTACAGATTTTGCAAGATTCCGTGGAAAATCAACCTATTAAAAGAAAAATAAAAAAATAAAAAAGAGCAAGAGTTGAGAGATTATACAGATTGAGAAAAAGGGGTTTGTTATAAGAAAACTATTTTTGTTTAGAGCTGGGTGTGGTGACACATGCCTGTAGTCCCAACTACTCAAGGGGCTGAGGTGGGAGGATAGATTAAGTCCAGGAGTTCAAGGCCTCCCTGAGCAATGTAGTTTCATATATATATATATATATATATTTTTTTTTCATTTATATATATGAAATTACATTTAAACTAATATAATATTTAAAACATTATATTAGAAAATATAATCATGTAATATGTCTTGAAAAAAAAAAAAAACTGAAATTTAAAAGTGCCAGCACACACAGAAAGAGTTAATTACTCTGGTCCTCTATAGAGGTGGTAACACACTCATAGGGACACTAGAAATACAAAAGCAGAATGTTTAGGTTACCACAATAATTGAGAGAGCAGGAATACTGGAATTCATACAATGTGTGAGAGAGTTCCAAACAACCAAAAATTCCCCTCTTCAAAATCCCACATGCTACTCTATGAAGAAAAACATACTAAGAAAACAGGTGGAGATTTCCCAAGGACAGTCCCAGTCCTGAAGGTCCTCCAAAGTACTTTCAAGTTTTATGAGTAAGAAGATATTATAACTTACAAATTGGGTCACAAAAAGATAATAGGTGACAAATACATATCTGATGGATTTTTCAAATGTTATTGTTAAAAATTTAGGAGAGAAATTATCAGAATGTACCCAAGTTAAAAAAAAAAAAAAAACCCTAATATTTCTGCAGAGGTGGGCCACTTACATCATAGCCTCTCAGCACTGCCAGGTGGAAAGCTAGCAACTGCAAAGGGATCACGCTGAGAATGCCCTGTAAGCAGTCCACTGAGTGTGGCACCTTGATTGTTCTTTTTGTGTTTTTAATGGTCTCAGTATCCTCCTTATCGCAAATCACCACAGGGCGCCCCTAGGAAATAAAATTACACACACACACACACATACATACATACTCAATCACTAGAAAAAAAATACAGGACTATTGGCACAAGAATATGCAAATTTTGCACTGCATAGTCTACACAAAGTCTCACTGACAGATTTATTTAAACACAAAGTCATACAGATTAAATCTGGTTGATCTCAATTAGGCAGTTGAAGAAACAGAAGTTTTGCGGAATTCAGTACTTTTTTTTTTTTTTAAGCTTACACAAGTAAGAAATTCCAGGTTTAGTGTTTGTTTGTTTGTTTGTTTTGGGGTTTATTCCAAGGCTTAGTGTTTGAATCCAGATATGCCTACCTTCCAAGTTTATTACCACTACATTGTGCTTATGGAGTAATACCTTATGGGATTTATATGTAAAGCCAAATGATCTGAAAAAATTATGCACAGCATTCATAATATTAACATTGAACAGTTAAGGTTTCTTCTGAGATAAATATTTAAGAATATTAAATTAAAAGGAAGAAGCATATGTTAAAACTGAAAGACGAAAGAATTTAGAAACCAAGGCCTCAGTTTTAGTCTTGTTTAAGCTTATTATTATAACAGAGAATTAGAATGTGCTTTTGCAGCAACAGATGCCCAGTGGGTAACTAAGATCAGGAGAAAAACTGACATGTCTGCCTTATTTTGTAATATATTTGTCTTCTTTATTACCTCAAACTCTGGTCAGATTCTGCACAACTCTGCATATGTTAATCATTCAAGCAATGTTTATCTAAAGCTGGTAATCCACCCCCTTTAAGGCTGAAGACGATAAGAATAACTAAGCTATTTCAAAATTTACAGGGCCATTCAACTGAAGCAGTGCTGTGAAGTCTTCAGTCATTGCCCTACATCTTTCATGAACATCAGAGCTTTGCAGACAGACCACCTCATGATGAGACTGCTGTCCTAAGCAGGAATAATCACCTCATAAGAATCAAAATGCCCCCAATAAAAGAAAGATCTGAGAGACAGCCCTTCAAAGCAAATAGAGATTGCCCTCTCAAGCCCTAAGATGATAAGGAATATTCTGGGGCCACATCCCAGAACCAAAACTGAGATAAGGAATTGTGCATACTTTGTACCTCCTATCCCAATTCCTCCTCTATTTAATCCTGAAGCTCAAGTCAGTACCCCTGAAGGCTGAGACGCTTGATCTCACTTGCCTTCCCCATATGGCTTTATTAGAGTGCATTCAAATAATGTCCTTGATAAAAGTTCCCTTCCAGCTTTTCATCATTACATTTTCCATTTGATTTCTGGAATGAATGAATGGCCAGACCTGATCTGTTGGGCCCCCCAGAATCAGGCCTTGGTCTCCATTAACATTTTATCTATGAGGTCGATCCCATCAGAAGTCTAAGTATCTCATTCCTTACACATAAATCTCAAAGGTTGTACTCCAAAGCTAAATGTAAATGTTTTTTAATTTACCTATTCTGGCACTGATTTATTACTTTAAATATGATAAAATTCAAACAAACTTTAATAACTGACTCTTACAGTCCCAAGGTATCCTCACAGCCACCTCTGACTTACCTGACGAGCAACTACCTGCTGAAGAGCATTCTGACACTTTGCGTAAGTGTGATCTCTCATGATGATCATGATGACAGGCATCAACTTATCCACCAAGGCCAGAGGGCCATGCTTCAATTCACCAGCAAGGATGCCTTCAGAGTGCATATAAGTAATTTCTTTGATTTTCTAATAAGAAAGAACCAAATAAGCCTTCAGTCCATTTTTTAAAATTCTATCTTTAAGTAAATATTATACAAAGCATCTTATAATGTTAAGTCACTGCCTATTTATCCAACAGTATTAAAGCACCACAGATATATGGAAATATAGCTAACAATTTAACAGATCATTATTTCTATATTATCAACAAGTATTTAGAATTTTTTAAATGCACAGGTCTTCTTTAAGGTTTCAGATTATTATGAATATACATATTTCTCTGTAACTGTTCCCCCCTTGCTGTATGTTTGATCACAATTTAATTTCATACCTAGAGAACTTAATATTTTATTCCTTTTTGAACAATTTATACACTCAAGTTACTAAAATCTAAGTAAACAAGCTAAGAGATCTTCTTGTTTTTTATAGGGGTTCTTTAAAAAGTTCCACATATTTCATTCATTCATTCTAAAAGTATGGAAGGGTAGGGGATAATTCAGTGATAGAGCACTCACTTAGCATGCATAAGACACTGCAAAAAGTGTAAGTATGACTACATGCCAGGTCCATAAGTCAGAAGACTAAAATTAACTGTAAATGAGGAAACATACCAGTGCCCCTTCAAGACAAGTAGCATAATGATAGCCTCGTCCCATTATCAGGACTGACTTCTGATGATAAAGTTCTGTTGCCAATTTCTGAATTTCATCATCCATGCTCAGTACTTCTTTAATTAAATCTGTTAAGAAGTAAATTTACTATTAGCAAAATCTATGAGAAATGGATCATTAACTGAACAAACAGATATAAAACAATAATATATTGGTAGCAACCAACGAAAGACCAATATTTCTATTCTTCTGTTATCAGCACAGGATTTTTAAATACACGGGAACAAAAAATACAATGATCTTATATTAACTAAGTAGCTACAAACCACAGATTCAACAGTAATAAAAGAATTTCATTCACTACCAACTCACTTAGAAAACAAAAGTAAAGTTTCCTCTCTTGGAGGCAGCCTATTCCACACACCTTGGAGTGTTACTTCCATTTCTCTAAATAAACCCCATACACGTTTTCTACTGGTGTCTCTGAACCCTTTCTTTCAGGAAGACAAGAACCAGGGAACCCCATCACCAAGTAATATAACTGGTGCTGTGACATGGATTGCTATAAGAACTAACCTGCAGATGCCCCTGAGGGACTATGCCTAGGGACTATGCCTGTGGCTCTGCTGCCATCATCATCTGTATTAAAGATTCCACAGTGCTCACCTGCCATCAAACACCTCCTCTTAAGCTAAAGCAAGGAACCCTAAAACTCACTATCCCAACCCCTTGACTACAGGCATATAACACCAGGCCACACTACCATGCATAGCTTGAATCCAAAAATGTTGGCTGGCCATTTGTTTCCTTATTTGAGAATTCATTTTATTGTTCTTCACCCATTTTTCAACTTGGGCTTTTGTTTGTCTTGTCTAGCAAGATCTTGAACTCTACAAAATCAAACAAGTGATCCAACACTCACAACCAGAAGGGTTTTAGAGTTCTGAGTCCCTGAGAGGGGAATAAGTAGCCAGACAGACATGAGCAAGGGAGGTGGGGAAAAGAAATTCAGGCTCTACCCCTGTGTGGCACCCAACTGGCTGTTATACTGCCCAGGGACCTCAGCTACTTGTCAATCTGGAGAAATGGATAAGGTCTATGATAACAAAAATTTCCAACAAGGTAATATTGGTGCAGATGCACTAAACTATGGCAGGAAATTGTACTAACGACCCCAGATAAATAATTCGTGGAAGGAAGGCTCCCAAACAGGTCATAAACAACTCAGAAGACATGAGGCTATTTCCTCTCTTAAAGGCACCCACTCCATGTACCTTGAAGCATTATTTCCCTTTCACTAAATAAACCCTTTACAACACTTTTTCTAAAAAGAAAACTAAAATGTGAATATCCTTGTACCAGGCAGCCGTTTCAATCCAAGCATGATCTCTTTGCGTCTCTCTTGCATGGAGATTCTGTCATCACACATCATAAGGGCAAACATCACAAGAGATACAAACTGGCTGGTGTAAGCCTGAAATGTCACAAAAAAGGCAGAAATTAGTGGCAGTTGCATCTTAAAATATATTTTTTTAAAAGGATGAAAAGAAAATACACATTCATTTTTTTAATTTGGTTTTGGTACTAGGAATTTAATTCAGGGGCTTTTAACCACTGAACCACATACCTAGCCCTTTTCTATTTTGAGACAGGTCCTTGCTAAATTCCTAAGGCTGGCCTTGAACCTGCAGTCCTCCTGTCTCAACCTCCCAAGCTGCTGGGATTACAGGCATGCATCACCACACCCAGCTCCCAGTAGTTTTACAATGTACATTGTCTATCTTTTAAAAGCAACACAAGTGGCACTAAACTGGAAATAGTCCATTTTGGCTGCTAGACAATTGACACCACCACCCCTTTTTTTTTTCCCTTGAGTCAGGGTCCTGCTGGGTTGTCCAGGCTGGTCTTGAACTCAATGGTTCAATGATCCTTCTCTCTTCACCTTCCATGTAGCTTCGACTACAGGCATATAACATCAGGACCCACTACCATGCATAGCTTGAATCCAAAAATGTTGGTTGGCCATTTGTTTCCTTATTTGAAAATTCATTTTGTTGTTCTTCACCCATTTTTCAACTGGGGCTTTTGTTTGTCTTCTTCTTCTTTTTTTTAAATTATTCTTAAGAAGGCTTTTAATATATTTTGAGTATTTTTCTTAAGTTTGGTAGACACACAGTTTTGTTTTGTTTTTAACTTTTATGTAGTATTTGTCAGCTTAGCCAATGCTTCCATATTGTAACACCAGTTAAATATTAAACTTTCTTAGTTCTGTTGCTTTAACTGTTCCTTTTTATTGACTTTTCTTTTTCTTTTTAGTATATCTGAAATTGATTTTGATATAAGATGGTACCTTCTGTTTTTATTTTATAAGCAGCCAATTTTGCCTCCATTTTCTATTGATTTCTGACACTTCCTGTAGTCTGAGTTCCTTGCTATCCTAGATCTATGTTGCAAGACTACTGATTTTGTCTCACAGTTCCAACATCTCTACAAAAATCAATTTTCTATTCAGAATAACGTACTTTCATCAATTTGTGCTGGGAATTTTTAAGTCTATAATGTACTAGTTTTCATTTATTAAACAAATATTTATGGAGCATCTTGTTTCTTAGTAAAGTTTTTTTTTTTACTTACTTTCTACAGCTATTAAAAATAAGAGTTCCTCTCCAACACATACCTCTTCATCTACTTTTCTAAGTAGATATTTTCAATTTATAGACAAGACTTCTTCCAATATGTTTTATAAAAAGCACTTTCTGAATTCTTACTCATTCTAAGTCTTTAGTTGATATTCTTGTGCTTTATAAGTAGTCAATTATAACTGCAATGGAGAATTTTGTTTTATCCTTTTCTGTTGTTTTACTTATCTCTTTCTTATTAAACTGAACAGAACTTCCAGTACAGAGACAGCAAACAGATTTCATATAAAACCAATGCTAACACATCAGGACTTAGTGAAACATCACACTGAGAAAGATTCTATGGCCATCCTGTTTGCTTTTGCACTACAATACTATAGATGAAATTCCAGGAAGGTTCCAAAAGAGCAGGTAAGAACCACTAACAAGAAGGTTTTAAAACTTTCTGTTTTGCAGTTCACTCATTCATTTTTCTCTATTATTTGTCAACTTCTGTTTTGTTTATTCATGTATTCATATGTGGTGCTGAGAATTGAACCCAGTGCCTCACACATGCTAGGCAAGCACTCTACCACTGAGCCACAACCCCAGCCCCAGCCCCAATATCTTGACTTGTGGGATATCCAAACTGTTTCCAATCCAAACTGACGAGACAATAAGTATTCCAATTCCACTAGCCAATTACTAAAAATGTCATTCTACAAACTAATGTTTCTTTGGAATGCAAACATTTCAACATTATTTTTTAAATATAAATATTAAACAGAGTAACTTTAATGTATACATTTTTCCATTACTCTGCTGTTACAGTATAATTTCCAATTTTAAAACCATGTTTTTCTCCACACCCTACCCCACCAGTGCTGGGAATTGAACTTAGAACATCATGCATGTTTGGCAAATACTCTACGACTGAACTATACTCCCAGTCCCCATATTTTTTATTTTATCAATATATACAAGGAAAACAACTGTAAGAAAATTAAGCAACACCACACATTTAGAATCTACTGAGGTTTGAAAGAATTAACCAGGAAAATGTTGACTCTGAACTTTTAAACTTGGTTTTTCTTTTTATTCAGCCAAAAACAAAGTCAGATGAGTATATTTCTAAAGTCAGCACTGTGGTGAAATTTTAAACACCTGCAATAACATACAAAAATGGCTGAACCTGCACATTTATATCCATCAATTCCTACAGAAATATCAAATTGTCTATGGTCTGACATTATGGGAAATAATATCCCTGTAATCCTAATAGTTTTTTCAGGCAAAGCTGGGAATTCATACGCTGGATCATTGAGCTTAAGTAACAGGGTCAATGATCAACTCTTTTGATTACCCATTAACATACACATTTACCATTCAGAAATGGTCTATGACTAAATATTCCAACACTTATTTTAAATAACTCCAGCCCAGAATATCTAAGACAGTTGAAGAAAAAATTACTTTGAAATCCAAGAAAAAAATTAAAGTAACACCAAATCGCCATATTGCCATATTGTCAAATTTTTTAAGACAAGTTTTTTTTTCCTTTTGTTTTGGAGAGTGAGGGTACCTGGAATTAAACTCAGGGGCACTCGACCACTGAGCCACATTCCTAGCCCTATTTTGTATTTCATGTAGAGATAGGGTCTCACTGAGTTGCTTAGCACCTCGCTTTTGCTGAGGCTGGCTTTGAACTTGCAATCTTCCTGTCTCAGCTCCTGAAGCACTGGGATTACACACGTGCGTCACTGCACCCAGCCAAGAAATTTAAGTATGTACTATAAAAAGATGCTTATTTCAGTGTTGGGGTTCTGGATTAGTGGTAGAGCACTCACCTAGCATGTGTGAGGCACTGGGTTCGATCCTCAGCACCACATAGTAAATAAACAAACAAATAAATAAAATGAAGGTATTAAAAACATATATGCTTATTTCAGAAGATATAAGGATTGGGGAAAACTGGGTGAAGGAAACATGGGACTTCTCTGTACTAGTGCTATAGTCTAGAGGAGTATTCCCCTCAAAGGTTTGGTTCCCCAGGTGGCACTACTGGGAGGTAGTAGGACCTTTAAGAGCTGGAACCTACTGGAAGGTCCTCAGGTCACTGGGCATATGTCCTCAAAGGAGACTGTGGGACCCCTGATTCTTAGTCTCTCTCAGCTTTCTGGCTCAGCTGTTGTTCTACCATGCACTCCTGCTGTGATGTAGCATCCCTGCCAGAGGCATAAAATGGGACTGCCTAATTTGGAAATGGAAACTCCAGAAATGTGAGCCAAAAGAAATCTTTTCTCTTTTATAAGTTAACCTGCCTCAGATATTTCATTATATGTGAACTTGATTAATAACAACTTTGTAACTTCCTCTAAATCTATGTTTATTTCAAAATAAAAATATTTTAAAGACTTGCAGAAAGAACTATTAATACAAGTAACAGTATCAATGAACCTCAAAAACTTCATACTAAATGAAAGAAACCAGACATAAAAGACAAGTATTATACCATCCCATTTATAAGAAATTTCTGAAAAATGACAAAATACAGCAAGGGAAAGCAGTAGCTGCTGGGTATGAGGCTGGAGGTTAAGGGTGGGAACTGGCGATCAAGGAGTACAAAGAAACTTTGGCATGTGATTAAAGTCTTAGTCTAAAACTGGGTTGTTGGGACAGTTGCATAGCCAAATAAATTTACTGACACTACACACTTAAAACTGGTGAATGTTATATCATGAAAACGATCTCTCTGTAAAACTGCAGAAAAAAAGGTTAATGGTAGAATCCAATTGATGAGTATTGATGGGTGTTAATGTAAAATTATTTTAACTCTGCTACATGTTTGAATATTGTCATAATAAAAAGTACTCGTTAAAAAAAGTGAAAATTTTAAAAATAGCATTTCCCTTGGCAGCTCACAATTCCAGAAAGATCTTATAAAAGATGAACTGTGCTATATTCCACATACACCACATTAAAGCCCTTGTTTCACGATATGTTGTGAATAAAGAAGCCCTGGGATTCTAATCGCCACCCTCATCAAAGCATCTGTCTGGACACTGCTCTAAAAATCCATTAACTGTTGCTGAGGGCAGCTGGTTATTTATTCAGCCACAGGATGAAAACCAAGCACAAACAACTTACATTTTAATTACCATACAGAGAAAATTCAAGTTTCAGCTATCCATAAATTATAGTGTTAGTAGTATCAAAATACCCAAGAAATTAAAACCTCAAAGTTTTTACATAAGAATTACAAATTTTGCACACACAAAAAAATTTTCCATGAGATTCTTTTTGAGGAAAAAAAAGTTAAGTGTGGTTATTGATCCATTACCATCATCTTCCATAACCCCTTAATTAAACTCAAAACCATCAGCACTAAAGTGTCTTATTAGATAATCAGCAAAAAATATTAGATTTAAACAGAAAAACAGATAATGAGAAATTGAACATTTGGAAATCATAAAGTGTAATATCTATGGAGAGATAAGTCATCTGCATTTATATAACTTTCTAAGATTAATTTTTTAAAAATATTTTTTTTAGTTGTTCGTGGACCTTTATTTTATTTTTATGTGGTGCTGATAATCAAACCCAATGCCTCACACACACTAGACAAGCACTCTACCACTAAGATACAACCCCAGTCCTGATTTTTTTAAATTATTATTAAATTTATGCATGTCCTACTTTCAAAGAGCAACATGGTCTTAATAAGCCTTTAAAAGAACTGAAATTCAGAAAAGTAGCAGGATATAAGGTCAACATCCACAAATAAATCATGTTCCTGTACTAAATGATGAATCTACTAAAAAAGAATTAGGAAAACTGTCCCATTGAAAATAGCTTCAAAAATAAATAAAATAATTGGAAATCAATCTAACAAAAGAGGTAAAGGATCTATACAATGAAAGTTATAGAACACTGAAGAAAGAAATTGAAGAAGATCTCAAAAGATGGAAAGATCTCCCATGTTTTTGGATAGGCAGAATTAATACTGTCAAAATGGCCATACTATCAAAAGCACTATACAGATTCAATGCATTTCCCATCAAAATTACAATGATGTTCTTCACAGAACTAGAAAAGCAGTTATGGAATTCATTTGCATAAATAAAAGATTCAGAATAGCCAAAGCAATTGTTTAGAAAAGGAGGCATTGTTTAGAAGCATGAAGCATCAAAATACCAGAACTAAATTATATACTACAGAGCTACAGTAACAAAAATAGCAAACTATTGGCATCAAAACAGATATGAAGTCCAATGGAACAGAATAGAAAACACAGAGACAAACCCACATGAATACAGGTATCTCATACTAGACCAAACATACATTGGAAAAAAGTAACCTTTTTAACAAATGGTGCAGGGTAAACTGGAAATTCATATGCAGTAGAATGAAATTTAACCCCCTTCTCTCATCTTCCACAAAATTCAAAGTAGATCAAAGACCTAGGAATTAGACCAGAAACCCTGCACCTGCTATAAGAAAATGTAGGCCCAATACTCCAATACGTCAGCTCAGGAACTGACTTCCTTAAAAGATTCCTAAGGCTCAAGAAGTAAAATCAAACATCAATAAGTGGAACGAAATCAAATTTAAAAGCTTCTTTACAGCAAAAGAAACAATAAAGAGTGTGAAGAGAGAACCAACAGAATGGGAGAAAATCTCTGCCACCTGCTCCTGAGATAGGGTATTAATATCCAAGATACATAAAGAACTCAAAAACTTAACACCTAAAATCATCATCATCATCATCATCTTCCAATCAATAAATGGGCAAAAGAACTAAACACGTCTCAAAAGAAGAAATACAAATGGTTAACAAATAAATGAAAAAAATATTCAACATCTCTAGCAATTAGAGAAATGCAAATTAAAACTACACTGAGCTTTCATCTCGCTCCAGTCAAAATGGCAATTATCAAGAATACAAGAAGAATAAATGTTGGCAAGGATATAGAGGAAAAGGTACACTCATAAATTATTAGTGGGACTGCAAATTAGTGCAACTGTTCTGGAAAGCAACATGGACATTCCTCAAAAAACTAGGAATGGAACCACAATATGACCCAGCCATCCCACTTCTCAGTAAATATCCAAAGGATTTAAAATCAGTATATTACAGAGACACAGCGATAGCAATGTTTATATAGAAGCTCAATTCACAACAGCCAAACTAAAGAGCCAATCTAGGTGCCCTTCAACAAATGAATGGATAAAGAAAATATGGCATACATACACAACGGAGTATTACTTGGTCATAAAGAAGAACGACTTTATGACATTTGCTGGTAAATAGATGGATCTGGAGACTATCATGCTAAGTAAAATAAGCCAATCACAAAAAAACAAAGGTCAAATGTTTTCTCTGATATGTGGAAACTAACCCACAATAAGCAGCAGTCCGGGGAAGAATAGAAGTTCAGTGGGGTAGACTAAGGGAAATGAAGGGAAGGGAGGGGAAATGGGAAAAGGAAAGATTGTAAAATGAATACAACATAACCTTCCTATGTACATATATGAATATAACCACAGTGAATCTCACCATCGTGTACATTCATAACAATTTTTTTAAAACTACAAATAAATAGTAGAAAGATCAGTAGAGTTGTGAGAAAGGAATGGGGGAAGGAGAACTAGGAATTAAATCAGAACAAATTATATTCTATGCTTTTATAATTATGTCAAAATGAATTCTATTGTCATGTATAACTAAAAAGACCCAATAAGAAAAATAATAAAGTATTAAAAAAAAAAAAAAAAGAACTAAAAGGCAAAGGCAGAAGCCAGATGTAGTGGTACATGATTGTAATCCCAGGAACTTGGGAAGATAAGGCAGAAGGATTTCAAGTACAAGGCTAGTCTCAGCAACTTAGTAAGACCCTCAGTAACTTAGTGAGATACTTTCAAAAAATAAAAAAGACTGAGGGTGTAACTCTGTGGTAAAGCACCTGTGGGTTCTATCCACCATACCAAAAAAGGAGAGAAAGAAATGAAAGTTCCTTTATACCTCCACAAATGTAACATCTAACTAGAAATATATATATTTTCATAAAATACTCATTTATTTGGTATTTTTATTTGTTCTTATTAGTTATACATGATAGAATCTATCTTGACATACATATTTAGAGTATAACTTCTCATTCTTCTGGTTGTACATGATACAGAATTAATCATATATGCACATAGGATAGTAATGTTCAATTCATTCTACTATTTTTCCTATTCCCATTCACCCTCCCTTCCCTTCATTACCCTTTGTCTAATCCAAAGAACTTCTATTCTTCCCTACCCACCCCCATTATTATGAGTCAGCATCCGCATATGAGAGAAAACATTCAGCCTTTGTTTTGGGGGGACTGGCTTATTTTACTTAGGATGATATTCTTCAGTCCCATCCATTTACCAGCAAATGCCATAATTTTATTCTTCTTTATGGCCGAGTAATATTCCATTTTGTATATGTACCACACTTTCTTTATCTATTTATCTGTAGAAGGGCACTTAGGTTGGGTCTATAATTTAGCTATTGTTTTTTAATTTTTTAAAAATATTAGTTTTTAAATTGCCAAATTTATACCAAATGTATACTCCTTACAAATCTTCAAAAGTAGTACATAATTTTGACCTATTTATAAGAATCCAGGAATCTATAAATAAAAATGTCAAAAAAACTACCTTAATTAAACTGGATATTTCCAATCTATTACTTTTCTAATTCCTAACTATATTTAATAAAAGAAAGGGGTGCCATATGCATAAGTACTATGTATTCCACTATGCCTCACAGGAGGATTACAAGTGATGAATAGGGACAGCCAGCAGAGACATTTTCAAAGTAGACTTATGATATATACTTTGTCCTTTTTAAACACTAAGATTGGAGAGAAGAAGAGTAGATGACAGTCTTATCTATACTGACCTTTAAGTCTTACAATAATTACAATGACAAGTAAAATATATGAGTTCTATAACTGCTAAAAAAAAAAAAAAGAAAGAAAAAGAAAAAGAAGATATAGACTATACTATATGCTAGTCTGTTTTACCCAATACTATGATTAATAATCATCAGAGACAGAATTCAAGAATTTACCTTTGTACTGGCCACACCAATCTCAGGACCGGCATTAATATGAACACCACAATCTGTCTCTCTTGATATAGAACTGCCAACTGTGTTTGTGATTCCCACAGTTAAAGCTCCTCTCTCCTTACAGTACCGAAGACCCATCAGGGTATCTGCTGTCTCACCTGTATAAAAGAGTACAGCAAAAGTACAACATGGAATAGTTTCAGCATATGTTGTTTCTTAGATGTAAAAACAAATGGATCACATTTTTAATAATATCACACATTTGAAACAGAAAAGATGCCTTTAATAAACTTAAAAAGTTTTTAATAACAGGTTTTTTAGGATCCCTTTGCCTCCTGTCTGAAAATTCAACTCTTTGCAAGTAAAAGATATTCATTTTTACTAATTCATAAAGAACATAAATATGGAAGTAAATCTGTATGTCATGCAAAACCAATTTATTTTTAAATACCATTGTTTGCCAAGATATGCTAGAATTATTAGAAAAAAAATGACTTTCCTTCAAGTTTTTAAAATGAACTTACCTGATTGACTAATGAAAAAGCAAACATCATCTCGAAAGACTGGTGTGTTTCTATCTAGGAAATCACTGGCTAGTTCCACCATCACTGGCAATTCAGTCAGCTCCTCAAGAACCTGACGTGTCTGCAGAGAAAAGGTGATGTAATCATACAACTTGCCTTCAGATACTTTTTTCCACTGGGTTTCTTTGGACTTAACATACAGTTTTCACTTTTTCTGATTATAAAAATGATAAATACATAAAGTTAGAAAATACAATACAGATTAAAGCATAAAAAATAAGATCCCACTACCCAAGAAATAAGCACTGTTAACATTTCAGAACAAGTCTCTTTAGACGACTACCAATGCAAATACACCCACACATAAAACATTTTGAGAAACAGAAAAAGCACTGTTGTGAGTCAGCTTGTATATTATCTCTAAACTTCCCAATTCCTAATCTTTAAAATGAAAATTCATATAATACCATACTCATTGAGGGATTTCAAACGAGACAACAGATGTACAAGTATTCAGTGAAAACCTGAACACTTTAAACATGCAATGTATGTATACATAGTATCATTTTCCAAAAAAGTCAGCACATTTTAGAAATCCTGTTTTAAGAAAGCTCACATTTTCAAATTTTGGAGTATTGAAGAGGGGTGATAAGAGTGTGGTTTATGTCTCTGTTCAAAGGACACCTTATTTCCTTTCACTCAATTTCCATTCTAATTAAATTTTTTTTAATTTTCTCCAAACATAAAATTAATAGAAAATATAAATGTTCAGACAGAAAAACTTGAGGCTCTATGGATGTGAATAGATATAGTGATTCTTTTTTTTTTAAAGAGAGGGAGAGAGAGAGAGACAAAGAATTTTTAATATTTGTTTTTTTTAGTTATCGGCAGACGTTGTCTTTGTATGTGGTGCTGAGGATCCAACCCGGGCCGCACGCATGCCAGGCAAGCGCGCTACCACTTGAGCCACATCCCAGCCCGGTATAGTGATTCTTTTAACACAAACTCTAGAGACGCCCTGACCTGACAGCCCTCCAACACCCTCACCAAGCAAGCCCATCTTTCACCTCATCTCTACATTCCTCCTCCATAGTAATAAAGACTGTAAATATGTCCTTATTCCACAGCCCTTCAACTTTTGCTTGTCCACAAATTGAAACAGAACTGGATTGTTCTATTTAGATTTCCAATAACTTGGGTTTGGCATTTTTTGGAAATATTTTAACACCATGAACAGAGTCTTCAAAACTAAAATGCTCTTGCAGGCATGGTGATAAAAGCCTATAATCCCAGTGATTCAGAGGCTGAAGCAGGAGGATCACAACTTCAAAGCCAGCCTCAGCAACTCAGTGAGTCTCTAAGCAACTTACTGAGACTTAGTGATGAGACTCTGCCTTAAAATAAAAAATAAAAAAGGGCTGGGGACATAGCTCAATAGTTAAGCACCCTGGGTTCAATCCACGGTTCCAAAAAAAGAAATGCTCCTTTTGTCATTATTTTCCACTGACATATTTTCCTTATTAATTATATATAAGTTATTGACATTAAAATGCTAGAGTTTTTCAAGATGGCAGAATACAGGAGGTCGTGTTCCTGGCTGCTTTGTGGTGTGAAACCAAGAAAGTAGACAGGGAGCTTCTCCACAAGGTGGGTGAACCAAAGGGGGTGGGGGGTGCTTTACCGGAATTTAAAATTGGACATTTAAAGCAGAATGGGGACACAGGAGGTTAGACATAATAAGGAAAAAATCCTCATGGACACAGCTGCTGCCATAACTGGGTCAGAAGCACCAGTCAAAGTGGTTCCTCTGTGAGGACAGTACAGGGATAAGGGAATGAAAGCAACCCGCATTTTTGGGAGGTCCAAGGTGCATTTTGGGAAGGTCCAAGGTGTACCTGGGTATGAAGCCTTTAGAGATCAAGGACATTGCCCAACAAACCTAAAAGATGCGCCGCATCATATCTGTGTGTGGGGAAAGAAGCCGCCATCTCTCCAGGCTATGTGCAGAGAACAAAGGAAGGCACCATTTCCCAGCTGTGAGCCGCCCCCCTACCCCAGCATCTGAGGAAGCCAATTCCTGGCAAACCCAAGTTTGGCCCAAAATACAGGTCCAGTAAACATACATTGAGCAACAAAGTGTGCTTAAGTGACCAGGAGAAAATCAAACGTACAGAGAGGTTTACATAGGAGACTACTGGTCTCAGAAACCCACCCAGCTCTACCCTTCTTCCTCCAACTAGACTGCTTGCAGGCCTGGCTGGGAGAGACAAATCCCAGAACTCGGAAGGGCAGGAGTGAATTTGGCTGGGAACTCAGAAGGGCAGGACCAGGAGAGATTTGTTCCTAGACTGAAGGCCCAGATCAGTAAACGTGGTATCCACAGTGTGACAAAGGGGACTAAGAATGGGGCCTCCCATCACATGCGTGGAACCCAGGGGAGAGCCCTGGGGTACATTCTTCCAGCATGGACCAGCAATTACTGGACACTGGTGGTGTACTGATCTAAATCTCCAGACCAACTGGCATTCAGTGAAAAGCCTGGAGCCCACCCCTAAGCCTAAACCCTGTCTCCAGAAATTCCTCCTACAGGATTACCTTTCTCACAGCAGCAAGCCAGAGGGTGGAGCATCATGATCCAGATGACACCCACCTAAAACTGCTGAGAAAAGAAACTGAGAATATACTGAACTATAATAGAAATAATTCTTTAACTTTTCATCAAGATGTTTTTTCCTTTTATAAAAATTTTTTATTCTTTTACTCATTTAATTGTGACCTTGATGGTACATGGATATTTATACATTTTCATTTTTGTTTTCTTCTCTCATGTCTAGCATTTTTGAAGCCAGTTATTTTTTATGGATTATTTTTTTGTGAATTAGAATGTTGGATTAGTATTTTTTAGTTTCGTTTTGTGTACTTTATTTTTATTTTTGTTTTAAATTTTTACTTTATATATATATGTGTGTGTATGTTTTTCTCCTATGGTTTCCCTTCATTCTCTTTTCTTCTGCTAACAGCAAATCTCTATTTTCTCCCTTTCACTCTTCCTTTGATCTTTCACTTCTGTCTTATCTCCTCCTCTCTCATAATCATCACATCCTATATCACTTCTGTTCTCTCCCTGTCCACCATTTGAAACTGTAAATCCTTTTGCAAATTTGCTATTTTTACCGTAGGCAATAACTGATCATATCATTTCTGTATATTATCATAAATAACACTGTAGATGTCGTAGTAGGAATTATCTGGTTTACTGTTGTATATTGCTTGCAATGGTTGTTATTATTTATCTCCCCTAAACAGTGAAGGTACTGGAAAACTTCAGGGACACTCTAAGTCCACAGGGTAGAAATTCTACTGCCTTAGATCCATACTGTTAGATGGGTAGACACACAAACAACATGAAAAAGCAGGGGAACAAACTGTCACAAACAAATAACAGAATCCACTGACATCACAGTAAAAGAAATGTCAGACAAGGAGTTTAGAATGTACATAGTTAAACTGATCTGCAAAGTAAAGGACAGCACAAAGAATGAAATCAGAGAGAATATACAGGAAGGGAAAAATCACTTTGATAAAGAGGCAGAGATGCAACAGTACTCTACCTCACTACCCCGGGGATCTCAGAAAGTAGTCGCTTCCATCTTGGGACACCTTTGCCACAATCTTGAGTTACCCCTGCCTCTACCATCGCCATCTTTAGTTGGGGCAACTCCCATCTTGGGACACCAGCTGAGGCCTAAAAGCAATATCAAGGTCCCTATAGTCTCCCAACAACCCCCTCTCCCCAGCCACCAACCCGGCACCACAATGCTTGCAGCTACATGGCTGGCCCGTAGCTCTCAAAGCCTGGTCCTGATCTGCCCGATACAGAACAGCTCTCCACGACAGGGGTACAGGCCCCAGTGCTCTGCCCACAGGACCACCAGAGAGAGAGATTCCTGATTGGGAAGTAGAAAGGGAGAGGGCAAGAGAGATACAGTTTAGAGTATAAATTAAGAGACCAAGAACTGTGGGGTCTACAGGCGATATAAAGGGCTAAGACCAGGCACCCACATCTCACAAGTGGGCCCCAAAGAAGATCCTTGGAGCACAGTCTTTGAACAGGGACCGGCAAATGCTATATCCTACCTCCAGGAGTTCCGCCTCCAAGACCAATCCTCCCACCCTAATAACCTTTACTATACTGAGAATGGAGATACTAGCAAACACCAGACAACCAACTCCAACTATCAACTGAGAAGGCAAGCAGGAAAGATACTGAACTCAAACAGAAAGAATTGTATAATTTTCCTTCAAGGTTTTTTTTCCCCTCTTTTCCCACCCTCACATCCCCAACATTTGTGAAACCAAGTATTTTTCATGTAGTAGGCTACTGAGGACTGGGTTGTCTGAATAGTATATTACAACTTTGTTGTATACTCTTTTATCTTTTGTTTTTCACTTTCTTATTAATTTTGTTTTGTTTTGTTTTATGTATTCCCTCTATTTTCTTCCCATTTATGTTGAAAGGTTAATAATCTTGAGAACTGTTTGCTAATCTTTTTTTTTTTTTAAATAATTTTATTTACATTTTGGTTTTTGGTGGACACAACATCTTTGTTTGTATGTGGTGCTGAGGATTGAACCCGGGTCGCACGCATGCCAGGCGATCGCGCTACCGCTTGAGCCATATCCCCAGCCCCATGTTGTTTGCTAATCTTGTTCCCAGAATGTGCTGTCCCTAACTGCCGGTTGCAGGCAAACCGCCCACTCTCCCTGACCCGTCAATGAACTTCCCTCCCTGCCCTCTCCAAGGAAAGTATATAAGCTCTGCTTAAGCTGTTCTCAGGGCTCTTTGCTCTATTCAAGTGAGCTCTGAGCCCCAGCATGCTGGACCCCAATAAACCCTTTGCTGTTGCATGAGACAGTCTCTTGGTGGTCTCTTCCTCCGACACTCGCCTAACCTTTACAATCTGTCTCCCCAGAGTCTCTTTCTCTCTTTTCTCCTGCTACCAGCCAACTTCTATTCATTCCTCTTTCACACTTCCTAAGATCTAATATTTCTATATCCTCATTTCCTACCTTCTTAACATCTATCTCATCCTATACCCCCTCCCTAGATTCTCTCTGTGT